CTTCCGTCACTCGTTCCTCGTATGGCAAAATTTCCAGTAGTTTTTCGAAGACCTAAAAAGTAAAATAATATTATCAATCAACTGGAAGATTGCAATAAATTTAAGCTATTTGATATACATGGTATTAGTAAAATAACGTGCCAATAATGCCAATAATTTCAATAACTAAGCGCATATAACTAAGTACGTACCTTTTTGTAGTCGATTTTCTTTCTTCCTGACATCAGGACAAATACTAGCGGCACCTGCTTTGTGTTATCGCCGGATCTGAGGAATGCATTGACACTGAGGAGTTGCTGGAAGGGCTTTCTGCAAAGCTTAAATGTTCCATCGATGTACCATGACTTGGACTGTGATAGTTGTTTTAGTTGCTTACTCGACGCAAATACTATGTGGCGTCGGTTTCGAACTCTCACATCTGCCTGGAGGAATTCATCCGGGATATGCTGCTCGTCAATGGAAAAGTCCATGGTTTTCGGCTCTGCTGGTCTCAGGCCTTGTCTCGCTCTGTTGGCAGCTCTTGCCAGGTGGTCTGGATCCGGTAGTCCCGGACAAGGCTTGTCCCCAACAAGTTCCAGAAGTACCTGTTGCATTGCAGAATATCGAAAGTTAATAATAATGGAACGGGGTTTTTGAAAGCTGTCCGTAGCTAGTACTTTCTGCTCCTTGTAAGCGAGCGTCCACAAATGGAGGTTCACCTTTATATAGATAACACAAACATCGTCTAATAGTAAGAATACAAAAAAAACTGACCTCATTCACAATAGATCTGGCGGACTTGAAGATATGTTGTATTGCCTCCTCTTTTACTCTCCTGATAACCCTGGCTACTATGTCAGACCCAACAAGTGCATCATGATTATGGCAACCTAAAAGAATGGCAATTGTGATGAGAAATAATATACAGTCCAAGCTCCATTTGCGGACACTCTAATTACGGACACTTTTTTCATTTCCCAAGGGTTTCCGCTTAATGCTTAAGGGAGCTTCGACTGTATAGAAGATTTCAGTATACCACTGTATAGTAAATATTTCTATGAAAACAAAAAACATAATTCTTAAAATGAAATATGTACCTCGTTGTTCGTACTCGCAACCAGTCTGAATAATTGTCACCGGACAAGTATCGCATTTCCCTCTCTTTGAACACTGCCAATGGGTGGTGGTTTTCGTTTGTCGATGTATGCCATATCTATATCCATCGCTGTCAATGAGAAGGTCTCGTCCACGCTTGGAGGCGCCTTGTATGACTTGAAATGTAAGGGGCAAGTCGATGCTGTCTGTAGAAACGTCGTTAATCGTTGCGTCTTCTAGAGATGACTCGAGTGCAGCGGCATCGATTACGGAACTTGCATTCGAAGCATCTGCAAGTTAAAAATAATGACGGTGTTAATGTATTGTTAGTATTCAATTATAATCAAGAAAAATACTACAACTACGCAACCGTTCTTCAGGATGTTAAAGCGTTTTGCATAATACTTACTAAGAAATGAGTCATCATTGCAGCTATCCTCGTCCATTGGTTCTCCGGGAATGTTTTCGTCAACTAGTACTACAAAATGGTAAAATGCCGTTAGAGTTGCCGGTTTCCAAGAATGCATTCTAAGATAACTAGATTGAGTGGTAACCAATAAGCATTAATAAAATAAATATAAATAAATAAAATAAATAAATAAATAAAATGGTTTACGATCATACTCACGATTATATGCGCTCTCGTCCATTTGGGAAATGAATGCTTCCAGTCTGATTTCGTCTGGTGCACAATCTGCAATAATAATAAAAATACTTAATTGATTTTGAAATTTACAATGAAAGCAAATAATAAAAAATACTTACCATCTGTGGTGTTATTATCGGAATCTATGGTTGTACTTTCGGCAATGGGCAAGCAATCCATCGTATGCTGCCAAATTTCCCGCTGATCGACACTAGACCATCCCACAAGCCATYCATCATTTGGACACGAGATAGATACTTTGCAGAGATTGCAAACGTTGGACATCTTGAAGAAGTATTATTGTAGTTTTTTTGTAGAGTTGCAGTTATTTTCGCTTGTGAAACAAGTTTCAATGATGATCGCTATATGAAAGTGTTAGCTTTTATAGCAATGAACAGGATCGAAATTATCKTTCAAAGCCCTGCTATTGGTCAGTTCAATTTCTATTCATTTAACAAAAACAAAGGGCGCACAATTTCACAAWTTTTACGCCCGCGCACAACAATCAGATTGATAGCTTGGTGACGCCAACCGATTACCGATTATCACAACTTTATTGTAACGTCTACATTCTAAATAATAATTGTTGTATCATTGTTTTACTATTGTTATAGATTTGTTTATAGATTTGTTTTCTTATAAGGCTAGGGTTCATATTATAAACATTTTTAAAAACAGTTTTTATTTTTATGGATGGTGCTTTTGATTGAAGAAATAAAAGATTACTTTATAGAATGACAATTTACAAAACTCTCTT